TTAGCTTACAACTGCACTGCGCTCATAGATATAAAATATATTTATATTATTATATACTGACTAGATGTCGCCTTGACTACCGCTGTTCATTGGAACGAATGCGTCAATAGAGACGCCATCTTGCAGCGGGGATCCACCCCCCTTTAATGCATTGGCGTCAATCTAGGCAAAGATCTAACGAAAATAAAATCACCATAAATCGTCAAGATTTCAAGCGATTTTTTTGTTTTTTTGGTTTGTTCCAACTGACAGATATGTATTTATGATCGAGTCCAGAGAAAATTTAAGCTTTTGATATTAATATAATCTACTTCAAAATGTAATGCCTAGTACTAGTAGGCATAGTTTTATTATTATTCCATTTTATGGGAATGGCTAGGTGCTACGTCATCATATCCAAAAAGCCACTTCCGTGTCCATTCGCTGATATTCTATGAACTAACAAATTAACGGTTCAATAACAGTAAAATGGTGCAGTACGAAAGAACGATTTTCATGCTAATAATAATATAGATTTAGCCATTTCAATCACTTGTAAAATACAAGTTGATGCATTTAATTTAGCAATTACAGACACATATGCTGTATGCTCATATAACAATTACCTGTAATGGATTCTCCAGAGCTAGTATGTAGCATAATATAACAAATAAATGTTCATGCATACAATTATATTATTTAAACAAAAGACAAATGACATGACATGAAAAATATTTTACTAAATTGACAGGACAAAAAACAGCAATATTTACAATATATACAATATATACAAACAAATAGATAACGGATAATCAAATCAAAAACAAATCAAATAACAAACTTATCGAACATATCAAGGCACCAAAATTCGTCTTTGTCCAGCTCCTCCCAGCCGACACAAATAGTGTGAAACCATTTGTCACATTTGTTGCACTGGACCCATGGCACCAATCCCTCCGAGCAGGAGGGTCAGGTTCCCTGCACTGGCCACACAGATCTTCCATATTGGTGTGACCTACTCATAGAAAAATGGTGGTAGTGAGGAGCCTGAAGTAATCTTCAATCGGCCCCCTCTTGGCACAGGATGCCCTCCCACCGTCAATATTGCCTGGGGTCCGAGAAGTGAAGCGCTGGCCTTGCCTCCTGCGGAAGTTGAGCCACCATGTCTGGCCCAACTTCCCCCTTCTCTCTTCTGGACAGCACTGATTGTAAATGGCTGTCGCAAAAGACTGAACCTGAGGCTTTGTCAGTGGAAACCCATGACTGGCAGAGTAAATGCAGTACTCTACCAGGGAATCTTCATCTGCAGGGGTGAGAAGTGGCCTCTGACCGTGCACACAATCAGAGGCCACCCTTCCACTGACTCGGTCACTCAGGCTCGTTTTTGGGACCCCAAACTGTTTGGCTGCCTGCCCCAGACTCAGCCTGCCTGCTTTCACCCCCTGGATGGCCTGTCCCATGGCCTCCGGGGTCCACTTCTTCTCTCTCGTCTTCTCTTTCTCTCTCTCTGTTGTCTCTCTTCTCAGACAGAAACACAAGAGCAAAATTGAGTTTCAACTATACTGTTTTTATACATAAGGAGGTGTATCTATATAATCAATATTTTCTATCATAAAAGCCTCTACTGGCTTTCAACACATCTCTCACACCCCTCCCTCTCTCTTACTCACACGCACACACCAATAATATATCAATTATTACATGATGACATCATGATAAAAAATATACTTTATTTAGCTTATAAACAAGAAAATACATCTGAATAGCTAATTTGAACCTTATTTTTGCATTAAATCTTCATGTGTACTGTGATACTTCACAGTTTAAAAAAACAATGCTGCGCTTGCTCTGTTCCTTTGTTCTCCTTTCCCGCGTCTGTAACTTTTTCAATTTCAATTAAAAAAATTTGCCCACCTCGACCACAGACTGTATAAACACAATATCCGACATTTTCATTAGTTAGACTAATCAGTGTAAACCTAGCTACGAAATGTACCCACATGAGAGCTTATTTAAGCTGTAAAGTGAAAATAGAAACGGACTTTTAAAGTTGACTGGATCGTCGCCCAAGCGCAATCTAAGCGTTCCCGCGGCTTCCCCTCATTAAAGTAACTTTCATATAATAATTATACATGTAAATGTTGATGTATATTTATGAAAAACCACATATAGACTCTGTAAAATGTAGAAATTCCTTGGACTTACGTTAGATGGCGATCGTGTGCCGGGAAGTACCGCGAAAAGACCGGAAACTGCATCAAGCCGGAAGTCGTTCGGGTCCCAACGCCAGCAAAAACAGCGTTCGGGTTAGGGTTCCGGTACGTTAGGCTGTCACTGTATAATAGGTGACCGGTTCCTGTGCTGTAGCCATTGTTGTTTACGTGACCTAAAAATTAAACGGAAGTGATTCCTAACGATTCCTTACGTCACACTAGCCTTCCCATAGTATGTGTATTTGCTTTTACACTTGTATTGTACTCATATCTAATGACTTCTCAGCTCAATATTTCATGAAGTACCTTTTTGACGGCCGTGCTTTTATTTTGAAAACGTCACCGAACCAACCATAGATATATATATATTGAAACATGAGACTGAAACAATATAATTTCATCACCAGAAATATACTTTCGTAACATTCAATATCATAAAACACATTCTCGCCTGTGAAATATTATCCCTTGCTGTTTGTTTTTTTAATTTATTTCGTTCGAACATCCATAAGCAGCACAAAAGTCCGGCATCTTTAATATTTTTTTTAGGTTAAAATTACGTCTCAGGTTCTATGAGATTTATTTTGGCAAGGGCTGCACGATATGGTAAAATAACGTTACTGTTGGCGACAGTTAGCTTCTTTTAGCATCAAGTCAACTTGCTGAGCCCCGTTCGGTTGCAAGCTAACGGCAGTTACGTTAGCAGTTAGCTTACGGCAGTCAGGGGACATCATAGGGAAAAACCAGACTTTATTCCCTCCATTAAATATGGTTCAGTTTCACCCAAATCACTGATTAAGTTGTGTTTTTAAACATTAGTACAGTAGTAGAGTCTTCACTCTGTGTCGGTAAGAGTTGAAGATTTATTGCATGTCGTTATATTATTGGTTGAAATAAGTTCATGCTTTGTAGGCATGCGTCACATTTTGTTTTACAGGAAGACAAAATGATTGGATTTTGATATAAAAACACAAAATCCCCCAGAAATCCTTTACTTGGATGTCCTATTTTGGGTTATTAAAGAAAGACAAAAAAAAGGTCACAGCTTGCATCCCTGTGACAGCACTACAAAAACACACAACAAAGAAAAAGGGCATTGTCTACTGGTTGTCTTGTTATTATTATGGGCTTTGTATAGGATGAGGGCTAATTTAACTGTAACCTTTACAAGATGGTCAAATGTAGATATTAAAAAAGGGCTATGGTTAACGTGGCTATTAACTCGATTGATTAATGTTTCCCTTTTCTCCTGTTTCCTTAGGACAATTCTGGAGAAAATGGGCCTGCAGGGGAAGGTGACTCCCCTGCAGGCAAAAAAAATGGGACAGTTTAAAATATATATATAAAGTACGTACATACCATTTTAAATTGAAATTATTTGTTTTGTTTTGTTTGTTTATTTGTTTCATTTATTGTCCACAATGTGGAAATTTGTCTTTCATCTCATAAAAACAACGAGCAGGACGGCAACAACAACAACAACACTTACACTCAAACAACTTCAGGGCAAAAAGCAGGACAGCAATGGCAGTTACATTAAGAAAACATCAACAGGAAATGGTGTTCAGTTCTCCAATGGCACTCGGGATGAAGGAATTTTTAAAAATATTACGATTTGCCCTTGGTACTTTGTATCGTCTACCAATGCAAGTTAATAAACACACTTTTGCTGAAATTTGTTTTGCTGCTGTTGTTGTTAACTGCCATGATTGATTTACTTTGCCTTAGGATTGCAAGTGTCCAGGTTCAGGTCAGGGTGTAGGTGGGAAACCCCTGGTTTGTCCTCATGGATGAGGTATTGGGACAGCGGCATTCCTCCAACCCACCTGTCCTAATTGCCTCCATCCCTGAGGACACACCAGGGCCAAGTACAGCAGTGGGTGACCAGGAGGTAGAGGAGCAGGACGAGGACGAGGAGGAGGAAAGACAGCCAGGGCCAAGAGGGCCAAAAAGAAAGAGGGACAGTAAGGATGAGCTGCTGGACCTCATAAAGGAGGACATGAGGTTGCAGAGGGAGGCAGAGGAGAGGAGAGCACAGGAGGGGAGGGAGAGGATGGAGAGGCTGTTCCCTCTCTTAGTGAGACTTGTCAAGAAATAATTGAATATATAAAAATAAAATAAAGTATTGTTTAATTCATATACATTGTTTATTTCATCTATAACTATTTACAACAATTAACAACATTTACATAATAATTCAGTTAAATAAATATTAATTTGATAATGTACATAAAAATAAAAAAAAGACATTTCAGCTGAGCAGGGAGTCCCTGGTGGTGCTGCTGGACCTGGATGGGATGCCACAATAAGGACCCTGGTGTCTGTCTCCTGTCAGTGGGACATCATCTGGGGTGGTCTCCAGAGTGTGTTGGAGATGCCTCTCTCCACTGTCCACCGCATCGTCAATCGAATGGGTTTGCAGGGCTGACTTAATCGACGGCTGCCATGTCACTAAGATGTTTTTGGAAAAGGGCAAGAATAAGAGAGAGTGCATACAAAATACTTCTTCACAACCTTATTTTGACAAAAGAAATCTCGGCAAAACTGTTCTACAAGACATTTTAAATAAATAGAAATCATAGCTTTACAATTCTTTTACTTGCCTGTTAAAAATATTGGTGGACAGGAGGTAGCTCCTCCTCCTCCAAGAGTCAAAGGTAGAGGAAATGAGTGATTGAGTGATTAAATAAATAAGAATATACTTTGTGGCGAATGGCCACCACCTCCTCAGTGACCCTGTGGACGATGAGGTGGACAGTGGAACGAGGCATCCCGAACACTCTGGAGACCACCCTGTATGATGCCCCACTAGCCAGCCAGAACAAAAATCACCAGGGTCTCAATGGTGGCACCCCATCCATGTCTCTGCTCCTGGTGGAGAAGGTCCAGCAGCACTTCCAGGGCCTCCCTGCTCAGCCTGAAATCAGGTCTGGTGTCCTGGCCATTAAGAAAACGGTCCAGGACAGGGACACTTAAATTAATCCTGCAGTACAGGGGTCCGGGCTGGTTTATGGAAAGAAAGAGAAGAAAAACTGTTAAACAATAGCTGGATATTAAGTGTGGAGAGCTTAGATAGATAATTTAAGGCTTAAATGTATCTATCCATCCATCTAACGTAATCTAACGTTATATATCTAGGATATCTAGCAGCTGTATAAATAAGATGACGTGTTGATTACTCATCATCATCCCTAATATCACCAGCATCTTAGAACATTGCTTGTTTTTATAGATGATATAAAGCATTTACATTGGGAGGGAGAGGAAGATAATCTGGACCCTCGGAGGCCGAAGGCAGTTGTTGATGGCTCTAAAAGAAAAATCATATTTTAGTATTACAACAAAATTATTTCCCAAAGCTGTATTAAAATTGCACAGGAAATAAAAAAAAAACGTGCTTTACCATCCAGTAGCCAGCCAGGAGCAGGCAGGCAGGTGGGGATGTTCCGCTGGGGGCAGGCAGCCGGTGACCGTGGGAGGCACTAGAGGGGGCCGAGCGGGTTGAGGGACCGGCGATGGAAAGGCTGGAGCTGGAGGCCGAGGCAGCCCCGGGGGATGCTGTTCTCCTGCGGCTGGGACGGGAGCCACCAGGCAGGGTAGAGGAAGTGGCTGTCGGGCCGTTGTTTTCGGCCCGCCGCTGCTCTCTGGCCGGAGCTTGGGCGTCCCGCCTTGCAGCACGGTCCTCCGCCTCCTCGATGGCGTCAGACATCTCCTGAGCCGTCAGTATCCTGGCCTTGGTGGTATTCCTCCTGACCTTGCCGGTGTTATAACGCACCTCGGGCAGGAGGTGGGCCAGGTCTACTGAGATCCTGCCTGATGTTACCAGGGGATGGGTACAGTAGGGATTGGGTGGACTAGGAACAGGGGGTGGACTCTGGTGTGTGTGTTGGGGGGGGGTGTTGGGATGGGTGGGTAACATCAGGCATGGCCCAGGATGATGCTAATGGGGTTGGCGGAGGTGGCGAGGAGGTCCCACTTCCTGAACAGCTCACTGTCCATGTACCCTGCCGGTGACTTCCTGTAGAGGGCATCGGGGACCCCCTCCTTGTTGTAGGGCCCCCCGGGATATCCCCCCTTGTAAATTATGAAAGGGGGGATATCCTCCCCAGCCACGTTGAGGCAGGCCAGGACGGTGACGTGGTCCCTGGTCCCCTGGGCCTGTCTATAAGCATGTTTTGTCCCCCGGGGCACGAGGACCTTTCTTCTCGACGAGAAACCCCGTCTCATCGCAGTTATAGATTTGACGGGGTTTCTCCCTCTACCCGTGCTCCTCCAGGGTGGTAGTGAGGAGCCTGAAGTAGTGTTCAATTGGCCCCCTCTTTGCACAGGATGCCCTCCCAGGGTCAATATTGTCTGGGGTCCGAGAAGTGAAGCGCTGGCCTTGCCTCCTCTGGAAGTTGAGCCACCACGTCTGGCCCAACCTGAGGCTTTGTCAGTGGAAACCCATGACTGGCAGAGTAAATGCAGTACTCTACCAGGGAATCTTCATCTGCAGGGGTGAGAAGTGGCCTCTGACCGTGCACACAATCAGAGGCCACCCTTCCACTGACTCGGTCACTCAGGCTCGTTTTTGGGACCCCAAACTGTTTGGCTGCCTGCCCCAGACTCAGCCTGCCTGCTTTCACCCCCTGGATGGCCTGTCCCATGGCCTCCGGGGTCCACTTCCTCTCTCTCGTCTTCTCTCTCTTTCTCTCACTTCTTCTCTCTTCTCAGACAGAAACACAAGAGCAAAATTGAGTTTCAACTATACTGTTTTTATACATAAGGAGGTGTATCTATATAACCAATATTTTCTATCTTAAAAGCCTCTACTGGCTTTCAACACATCTCTCACACCCCTCCCTCTCTCTTACTCACACGCACACACCAATAATATATCAATTATTACATGATGACATCATGATAAAAAATATACTTTATTTAGCTTATAAACAAGAAAATACATCTGAATAGCTAATTTGAACCTTATTTTTGCATTGAATCTTCATGTGTACTGTGATACTTCACAGTTTAAAAAAACAATGCTGCGCTTGCTCTGTTCCTTTGTTCTCCTTTCCCGCGTCTGTAACTTTTTCACTTTCAATAAAAAAATTTGGCCTCCGCCCACCTCGACCACAGACTGTATAAACACAATATCCGACATTTTCATTAGTTAGACTAATCAGTGTAAACCTAGCTACAATATGTACCCATATGAGAGCTTATTTAAGCTGTTATGTGAAAATAGAAACGGACTTTTAAAGTTCGCAATCTAAGCGTTCCCGCGGTTTTCCCTCATTAAAGTAACTAATAATAATAATTATACATGTAAATGTTGATGTATATTTATGAAAAACCACATATAGACTCTGTAAAATGTAGAAATTCCTTGGACTTTAGATGGCGATCGTGTGCCGGGAAGTAACCGCGAAAAGACCGGAAACTGCATCAAGCCGGAAGTCGTTCGGGTCCCGACGCCGGCAAAAACAGCGTTCGGGTCCGAACCCTTTACCAATCTTTGGTCCTCTCTTCTTCTTAGCCGGAGAAACTTCTCCCACTCCTCCAATAAAAGATAAACAATACAACATAAAATGATTACTTCAGGCTCCATTTCTCCTCCGCTGTCCGGTGTGAACTGCAGCTGTCAGGGTTGCTAGGCGACAGGACAGGAGCAACAACCAGGTTTCAATCTTCTCTTGTATGATACTGAAATCACTTTGACAAACATATTCACACAAATTCACATTTGTTTGAGTGTGAGGATGAAGCGTTGGGCTTTCAGGTTCTCCTGAAGACTCACAGAGCCTCCAGGCACCAGGTCCAGGAAGAGCTTTATATAATCCTCCTCCCTCTTGGACTGGAAACCACATCTGCATAATCAAAGGGACAATTCAACTTAAACTACGGTTGCAAAATTGGGAATCTCTACACGAAGTCTGCCTAAAGTGTGACCAGCTGTGGCTGTGTATACGTTACCCCTTGCAGGTCCTGGTGCTCAACATCTGGAAGGCAATGTGAGCATTGACTCATGCAGATGTTTAGCATCGACTTAAACTAGTTCAGTAAAGATCGATGTGTTGTGTGTGTAGATAAAAAACGTACTAACTTTCTGACTGTCGTCCTTAAACTCTGAGTTAAACTCAGCGACAGTCTGTTTGAAGACAGCCGGGACACTTTTCTCCTCCGGTTTGTTATTGGAGAAGCGACAGACTCTGAAACATACTTATAGTTTTTATTACTCCATGTTGAGATGTGTTGACTCCCACCATGTCCTAATGGGACGTCACTGATCACATCTGAGTCAGTCCTGATGGATTTGACCTCCAGGGTCTCAGATGAAGAGCTTCTCTCTTCTCCTTCGTCTTTGTTAAAACGGTAAATGGACGGTACTTGTATAGCACCTTTCTTGTCTTATGACCACCAACTCCTCCTCCTCTTCTTTCTGTCAGTCTCAGCTGAGACCTCGGCGTCCAGAGTGGATGAAGCCTCCTGGACAACAACCTCTCCCCCCTCGGATTCCTGGATGGTGTGGACACTTGGTGATAAAGAGAAACACAGATGTTATTCTGCAGTAAAGTCACAGTGAACATGAATGCAGCATCAATATAACATGTTTAATATAATCTCATACCTCTCATCTCATCTCTCAGGACTCTGCTGTTTGTGTTTCTGATGATATAAAATCAATATTTTGATCAGTGGTTTATTTGTAATATTCAGCTCTGATAAACTTTCTGATGCCACCAGGACGGCTTCTTCTCCTTCCTTTTTGGAGCCTCAGTTGGAGCGTCGGGGAGCGCAGGGTCTTCAGTTGGGTCCTCCTCAATATTGACACTGGTACTAAAGAGAAAATACAGATGATTATTCTGCTGTCAAAATGCCCTGAATGTCCATTAAAGATGGACTGAATCAATTACTTTATCCTGGTGGAACACACAGAACAAACTACAGCCTGAACAATCAAACAGTAGCAAAAACGGACCAACAAAGCTACCAACCATTACCGTAAAACACAAAAATAGACGATGAGCCCCCAATTTTGCCACTACTTACTGCCAAAAACAAACTACAGCTAAGACGAGGTTTGTTTATCAGTAAAGTCAGTGGTAAAAGTGCGAGTACGCATGAGTGTGATGTTGAAGGTAGATGTTGAAAACAACTAAACCAGCACAGAAGAAGAAAGGGTGGGGTTTCTATATCCACAAAACACGGGCCATGACTCCGCCCCCTCAGGTACCTGCTGCATTAAAGGAACAGGAAACTATGAGGGGGGCCGCCGCAGCGCGACGGACAAACGTAACAGAGAGTGACGTGACAGTGGGGGGTGTAAAAACAGGTCAGTGGGCAGTGTGTGTTTGGTCTCAAAGATTAGCAGTGTGTGTGTGTGTGTGTGCAGGGGCAGATGTCCAGGGTCCCAGGCCGTAAGTGTGTGTGTGTTGCTGTCTGTTCGTGTGTGTGAAGTGATGTGCAGCCAATCAACTCAATATCCTTCCCGTCAGTGATTTCTGAGGCTGACAAGCGAGTTTGACTGTCGACATGATTTCACTTCATGTTTCAGACTCGAAGCAAAAAGCAGAAAAAAGTCAGAATCTTTTCATCTCGTTGGAAAACAAACAAACAATAATAAACAACGACATCAACATCAGCAGTCCTACAGGTCTGAAAGATTGTTTACAGGCAATAATATTAGTTAAATGATTACAAGGTTTTCACATTTAACTCAGATTTTATTAAATAAGCTTCTTGTTTTCGTGCATTAATACAGTCTGAGTAGTATTTTATTACAGTACAGTAGTGGAATAATATTGGAAAAACAAAAAATATGCAGCTGAATGCAATTTCCCATTAGAAATTAATGATATCTGACATTTTAATCTACTTCTTTCTGAATAAACCATCATCAAGCGACATTATGCAAGACATGTGGTGCCTCAAGTTGCAACACCGGCAAAACATCAGGCAAGTGCAACAACACAAGACATAGCAAGACCAGCTAATATTACTCATTAGTCCAGCAGACAGAAGCTCACCGTCTGTCTGCAGCCTTTCATTTCACAAAGCTCTCGAGAGATTTACTCGACTGGTAGCTTCACTTCGCTCTAAGGTCTCTTTCAACTCGGCCATTAGTCCATAAAAGCTGCTGAACCTGGTCACATTGATCCGATTGTTGCGTGACATCTCTGTTAATAATGCTGTCATTTTAAGGTAAAAAAGTTACGTAATATCACACCCTGAAATCCATAAATCAATAATAAAAGTGTTGTTTATTGCACTTTGATAATAATTAAAGTAGTTTACCTGAACATACATTTACAACTCGTCTCTGTTATCAAATAATAAAATATTGCATTTCAATAGAAGTTAAGATACATTATAAAATACAATATAATATCTGTATTTTAATAATGTATTTTGGGACTTGTAGAGGTTTCACAGGGCTGCTGCTAAGATGTATTAATGTCTGTGATTACACAGTGCAGCTGCACCATCTGGTGGTTAATACAGTAACACACACACACACACATACACATACAGGCACAACAACAACAGCATCATTTAAGGGCAACTTTAATCAATAATATGACTGCATTTTTTTTTTTAAAAGACACATATACTTTACATCTCACAACATTTAACAAAGAAAGTGAAACTTTACTTTTAATGGCATTATGGGGTCAGCAGCTTTAAGCCTCCAGTGTCAGGCAGCGTGTTGAAGTCTCATCTCATCCGCACGCCAGTTTTACCTCTTTCACAGTCACCGCTGCCTCTTGATTTTAGTTCAGATGTGGATATTTTCATAATGATCTAACTTTGGTGCTTGGTTATTTTTTTAGGTATTTCAGTATTTCTTTTGATTTTTATAACTTCTTATTTTTTACTTTTACCCATTTTTACACAAACATCTGTACTTTCTGCTCTTTACATTTTCAAAACAAGCTT